AGGGTAAACACCCTAGTTAACAACAGGAAGACCAGGGCGGAGTGGATAATGAGTCTCCAGCTCAATACCATACAGCCTGCTGTGTCCAACTGCATGTAATCGCATATCGTCCATCCATCCAGGCTCACAGTGAACCCAGGGCACAGGGGGCCAAGCCCTAGGTGGGATGCCAAAACATCACAGCACATTCTTATGCACAATAACACGCTAGGGACAAATTCAGTGCTCTGTCCAATTTTAGAGAGGCAGTCCAACGCTTTCCTCAGAGAATAGTGAACATTCTGGAAGGTTACCAGAACATCTGCGAAAGGTGTGATACCTAGAAGGACTATGGAAGGAGAGATGGATAGGCTCTAGGTAGACAGGACTAGGAAAGATATGTATGTACGGCCCCGAAGGCCGCCCCCTAGGGGGAGAGTGGACACCCTACAGGACTAGGAAAGATATGTATGTACGGTCCCAAAGGCCGCCCCCTAGGGGGAGAGTGGACACCCTACAGGACTAGGAAAGATATGTATGTACGGTCCCAAAGGCCGCCCCCTTGGGGAAGAGAGTGGACACCCTTGTCCAGGAATCCAGCCTCGCTCTCTCTGTCTTGGTATGTTCCGGTCTCTCTGCAGATGTGCGTCTCACCCCCAGCGTGCGCATTTGTCTCCCAGAGCAATCACATTTCCCGAAGACAGAATTTGTCATCTTATTGGCTAAATTCCCATGATGCTTGGACTTCGAGAGGACTGATAAAAAGTGTTTTTCTCTCTTCCCAACGTTACCTACATGCCATCACACCCCTCCCCCCAACAGTGAATGAAAACAACAGTAGCAGTAATTCCACAAAAGAGCCCCCCCCCAACCCCCCACCCCATTCTAGAGGCACCTGGAGTAATTTCCTTGAAATCTAAACGGATAAAAACCCAAATTAGAGCCAATCACGGGGCCTTGCATTTTTGTCTTTCCATGGCTGTCGAGCGAGCAGACCTTCCCCCACGGCCTGCTCCCTTTAACGTGCTCCCACGGCCACTGATAACCGTCATTTGGTGAATCTGCGCAGCCGCTGATGTAATGATGATGAATGCGACTGCGTTGCCTGCCCAGGATCCCCCAGGAATGCTTTCCGCTTTGGCGCCCCCCCCCACCCCCATGAAATGAGCACAACTACAGTAGTGTTTCATCACCTCTCTGTCTTTCCATGGGAGGGGGTCGAAACAGACAAGCACAAAGACGTGTATATGTACATATATACACACTTACTCGAGACCCATAGACACTAGTTCATATATGCTGGGATTTCAATTTATTCTGACTTATGTGTTTAATTTAAAAGATAGATTTTATTTCATATGGAATTTTATATCTGATTCAGATGTATTACCCTTCTAAAAAAATGTACAATAGATTTTAGATTTTATCTTTAAAATAGGGCAGTGTGTGTCTTAGCAGCTCGATATGTTTTGCCTGTGATCGGAAGGTCACCAGTTCAAATCCCAGGGTCGGCAGAGTCACCAATGGGGCCCTGAGCAAGGCCCTTAACCCCAGTTACTCCAGGGACTGTCTGACCCTGCTTTCAATTGTTTGTCACTTGGGACTAAAGCATCTGTTAAATAAATAAGTTGCTGTAAAACCTCCAGCTTTCCTGTAGGTGACTCAGTGCTGTGCTGTTGAGCCCTTGAGTAAAGCCCATAACCTCCAACTGCTCCAGGGACCGTCTGTCCCTGCTTTCTCAAAACATGTACGTTGCTTTGGATAGGACCATCTGCTGAATGAGTTAAATGCTAATTTCAACAAAAAAAGTGAGATGAATAAACAAATTCCAGCGTTTGATGGTCTTTTTAGAGGTGAGCGAAAGTTTCCTTTAGTCTTTTTTTTTTTGACTTTGATATGCTCCGTCAGTAACTGACTTTAAACTTTAAGGCTTTTGTCTGCAAAGCGTGTAATTTATGCAAAATTGATTTGTGTAATGTGCTTAAAATGGGGAACGTTATTACGCGCGGATCAAAATGAAGTATGTAAAAACCTGGTTCGTTTCACTTTCACTCTGAGAAGACCCTGTTCTCATCAGCCTTGTGTTGTTTGCAGTAAATACCTGTGAGGCGTGATTTTTAAAGTCCCACAAAATTTTTCAAATCATATGTTTTGTAAATTTAAATGCAAGTATTTCAGATGCAAATGTTGATTTTTGTTTTACAAATTAGAATTTGGTTGCAGTGTAATAATGCTCAAACTCAAATTTAAGTAGTATTTTTTTAATGAATGGTGGGAGGAATATGAGACAGCAGATAAGCATGGTAGCCGAGTGTAACAGAATCTATGGGTCGGAATTACATGGAAGGTTCTGGAATTGTTGTGGAATTGCAGGCATGAAAATGCAAGTTTTCCAGGGGGGCACAGAAAGTATACACCTGCAGGATGGCTTAGGGCAGGGGTTCAGTGGGGGGGGGGATTAAGTAGAGAATGGGCCTGGATTTAATTGCAGCTCTGAAAATGTGGCCTTGCTTTGAGAAATACAAAAGGGGGTCAGCCATGCTTGAGTAGCTCAGGGCTGTGAATATTTGCTGTACCAAAGGAATGTTTGTGTCCCCCCCCCCACGCCCCCCATCCTCCACTCTTTCCCGCCTCCCCCTCCCTCTACATATATTGCTACCCCAACCCTTATTGGCTTCACCTGAGGAGCGGGGTAACGAGGGCTGGGGGTGTGAACGCGTACTGTCACATGTGCATGACGCGCATGTACTATCGCACATGTAGTTCACATGCTAGTTGGCTGAGGTCTGCCTCCTTAATGGGTGAAAATATTTTTTTTGTACATTTTTTTCAAAAGTTCAGTTGTGAAAATGGTGGTAGCATGTGATTTAAGAGGAAGAATGGAAAAATGAACTAGGCGATCATCATCTGATCTTGCTTCTCACTGTCCCTTGACGTCCCGGGCTTATGGATTGCTATTGGTAGGGGCCTGATGGCAGTGGGTGTGCAGTCAGCCGCCTCGCAAAACCAGGGAAGCAGAATCGATTTTGGCCCGAGAAACCGGCTGGATCCATCTCATGCTCTGAGGAGTTCGACTGCCTGTGGTCTGCTGTGTCTTCCTGGCTTGGGTCAGGCCTTGTGCTGACACAGGATCGTAATGACTGGACCCGTGTTTATACGGGCGGGAGAACGTTGCCCCGTTTGATTCTCCTCCGCTTCTCTTGTGGCTCCCCTGCGCCTTTTAGCGGAATTACTTGCACGTGTTGGCAGTTGCGTTGGAAGAAGCCTGAAGGGAATTGTAGGCAGCAGAGAAATGATGGGTAAAAAGATCACAAACAATGTGTAGTGTTTTGGTAAGAGACATCTGCACGGGGGCAATGGGGTAAACTCGCTTTCTGTTTGACGGTAAGATAGAACTCTCTTAATTTGTTATATTTTCTGTCCCCCAAAATGGCACACGCCTGGAGGGACCCTGATGGAAATTCTTTGGGCTGTTCCCGAAGCATCCCACCAGGCTCTGCATGTATCCCTGGAGCCCTGGAAGAGGAGAGTGAGAAGCAAAAAAACATAGTGTTGGTGACATCAGGGCCAACAGCGACCTTGGGATGGAGAGTGCTGCTCAGGCTTCGTTTTCCGGATGACTTGTGCTGATTCCTTGCTTGGCTCCTTTCTCCCTGGAGAAGCTGACTTGGGGGGGAGCGAGATGCACTGATCGATCTGCTGTGAGTTTGTACTCACGGACCCTTTAGAAGTGCCTGAAACCCATGTCCAGTAAAAGTATGAATTACTGACATCACAGACTGGAGTTTCTGCTTTGTGAAGATGAAAAGGGCTCCATAAATATTAAGACTACAAATCTCACCCCAGGGGGAAAAACCACTGCTTAGCTGTCAAAACAGTCAGTAGGGTGAATCTGAATACGGAAATCAGACCGGCCGACCGCCGGGGTCGTGAGCCAGGGCCCCTTCTGACTGGCGAGAGGTTATATGGCCCACCCAGCTGGAGGCAAAGACAGGAAGTATGGTTGATACAGGTACTTAGTACTGGAAAACGCCCTCAAACTGGGCCACAAAATTGCCTTTAGGCAGTCATTCAGCTTGATTGTAAAAAGTATATTCTGGAACACTGGTAGCAAAAGAGCTGGTTTTATCTGAAAGTTGGACATGTTAAGTCTATTGAATAAAAATAATGAGAATTTTTTCTTAGACTTGCCATAGAACATTATTGTTATCATCTGATTCTAATTCTAAGTCTGATATTATGTATATGATTGAGATAAAAAATCTGAGAAATATAGGTACTGGTGTTGATTTTCATAATAAAATAGTAGATGTATGGACAAAACTGATATTTCAGTAAAAAGTTGTTGATTAGCGTCCATTAGTGCCTTAAACTGGGTGGCTTTAACCTGGGGTTTTGTTGAGACTTGGCAATGGCCATTCCTGTCTGGTTGAGCATTTAAATAAATACTGTGAGCTCTAAGTTGGCCACGTTGGAAGACTATATTCATAAGCCACAGCACGCTTACAGGGACCCCGGGGAATTGCTGGCCAAATGACAGGAGCTGCAGTAATGAATGGTTATTTTCAATTTTCATTTCTAGTTTAAAGAAAAGCTCTTGAAAATATTCAGTTGTGGTTATAGTCACTTGAGTGGATATAATTGCATAGTTGGTGTGTTTAGTTGGTATGTTTTTCTTAACTGGAAAATCCATACACCGTGTATTTTTGACATATGTCAGTAGACCCTGGCCCCGTGAAACACCTAACACACTCAGACTACTGTGTTCTGTGGCCGTTTTCTTCGTTAAAAGCATAGCTGATGGTAGCTGGCCATTTAACGACAGCTTTGTGCTCATGCACTTTGCCTTGCCAGAATCCGTGATGACGCAACGGAGGCAATGGATGGGTGCGGACCGCCGCCGCCTCCTCGTAGGAGTACGGGGGGGGGGCATGTGAGAGGAAACAGCTGGGGGCGTGGGGGTGGGGTGCCCTCTCAGATTTTCAGGTCTCATCTGTTCGCCTGTTGCGCTGTTCCGGCAGGAGACTTTGAGGAATGAGAAGTCGTCATGGAAGCCCCGTCCCAGGCCAGTTCCGCAGCTGAGAAGAAGAAGAGGGTGGAGACCGTCGTGGCAACCAAGGGTTCCTCCAACCGAGGTGACATCAGTGAGAAGGCAGTGGCCTCCAGCACGACATCCAATGGTGAGAAGTGACACCTGTTAGCTGTAGGCCTGCCTCTGTTCTCTTCTGATCCTCTACTCCCTTGTTTTTTCCCATCGATAAACAGTATAGTATTATGGCAGAGGTCAGCCTGTACGCTAAATTAGCATTTGCTACTCTGACGTTGATTTAAAAATCGCATAATCATGTTAATTTTCATCATTAATAAGCCACGTTATCACTTCCACATGCAATATAAGTCGATTCAAGGGATATTTGTGCAGAAAGTTCAGATGCTTTTTAAATGGTGTATTTAAAGGAGGAATAACATTGATTCTTAACCATTTAGCTTTTTAAAAATTGCACGGTCATGTTAATTTGCATCATTAATAAGCCCCGTTATCACTTCCACATGTAATATAAGTCGATTCAAGGGATATTTGTGTAGAAAGTTCAGATGCTTTTTAAATGGTGTAATTATAAGTGGAATAGCGTTGATTTTAGATATTTATTTAGCTATTTATTTTAATTGTATGGTACGATAGGTGGCACAGACTCTTTTGCTAGCAGAACTTAAGAGACAAGTTCGGGCTGGGATTCAAAGACAAACAGATCCCAGCAGATTCATCCGACGGGCACGTGTGGCCAAAGGCGAGTTTGGTAGCGTTGATTCATGTCGCTAAATTTTGACATGCAATGTCTTGCTTTTCAGTTGTATGCCAGGACAGAAACGAGTGCGTCTCCGTAATTCCTGGAGCGTCCCAGTGGCCATCGCTGTACGCCCCCCCCCCCCCCCCCCCGTACCGGCACATCTGCAGAACTGTTGCGTTCGAAATACATTTTTTGTGCAAAACCTCGCCGGCAGCCAGAAAATCCAAACAAAACAGTAGAAGAAATTATCATGCCCAAAACTGCAGCTGTGCACATTTGCAAAAGTCGCGAGCAGGAACAGCGTAGTTGCGCGCGTCAGCAGGGGGAGGGGGTGTCGCCCTTGGTTACTGCTGCGTTGTAGGACAGGTGTTGCTGTCCCCAGTCCCAGCGTGGAAGCATTAGGTGGTGTACAGAGGGTTAACGGGATCCTTCTTCTAGCATGCACAGCTCCTCAGTTATTATGGGATGTTTGGGGGTGATACATGACCCATAAGATAAGAAGGTGGGAGGAGTGTTGTTTGGAAGGGAGCATGCAGAAGTCCTCAAGCTTCCTAAACATACACAGTGTACTCACTCATCATACTTTGCCAGATGGCTAATATGCCATCATTCTAAAAACGTTCGGAAAGAATAATTTATGGAACCCATTTACTACATGTTATTAGAATTTCTAATAAATGAATTTTCTTTAGATAACTAGCTCTGTTTCATTAAACAAGTATGCTCTACATTGGAAAAAAAGAAGCTTTTCTTAATTTGAGTTATAAAGTCAATTGGAGTCCATTGTGGATTGTCATTACTGTGCAGTCTGCGGTACTTCTAAAGCTCGGGTGTTGTGCCTTTAATGAGAATTGCTCCAGTCAGAGCAGTGAATGGAACCATATGTAGTCAGCAGAGAGATACGAAAAACAGAAAAGGCAATTTTGGCGGATGAAAACAGAAGTCTGGTGAGTTTTGGCCAGGGTGTAACGAAAGGCTCAGTAATGTCTGGAGTTTCATTGGTTTGCCTGGGGTGGTGCATAGCACAGTGGGCGAAGAATCTGTGTCCTGTGCCTGGAAGGTTGTGGGTTCCGATCCCACATTTCTGACTGGCTGGCTAACCCCATACTTTGACATTATCTGTATATATTTGTGTCTGTTTCTCTCATCATGCGCAAGATATGTAAAAATTACCCAATTTCCCCATGGGGATGAATAAAACTGCCTCTATTCTATTACCTGAGCTGATGAAGAACAGAACATTTCAGGCCTGAAAGAGGGACAGGGGGAGGCAATCATGAATGGCCCAGAAACGTGATTCACCTTCTTTTGCATATGTAGTCTGTAACCCCTATATCATTCGGCATAAACACTGCGACTGCCCAAACCTCTCATGGTTATTACTGTTAAGCGATATGCCACTTTCACAAAGCAGGTCCTGGGGGCTGCTTGAAAGACCCCCGATAAGAGTGTCAAGTGCACCAGCAATCGCTGCGAGTTTAAATAGCATTCTCTACCGTCCGCTTCGATGTACGGCCAAGCCTGATCGCAGGTCTGTATAGACCTGCTTCTCCAGCGTGGCACATGATGCACCTCTGCAGCCCGCAGCGAGGAGACGGTTAGAGGTGCGGTGAAAATGCAATGAAGGTGCTTTGATCGCTGATTAAACATAATTATATACTTTAAATGAACAATCCAGCATGCTATGAATTTTTATTAAATTACTTTTTTACGATTACATCGTAATTCCACTCTCTATTGCTTTTCTGAACTTTGTTTTGCTTTAATCGCCATCATTGCTTCATGTGGAGATTTTAAGAAGCGACATGACTTGGCTCACTTGCCAGTACTGAGGCTTCACACCTGCACAGTTGACGTGTTCTCCATTTATTGCGTGGGTTTCTTCACTCTGATCCAAAAGGTGGTTAGGCAAGTTGGTGTCTTTAAATTGTCATTGAGTGTTGGACTGGCATTCAGGGTGTACCCCTGCCCAGGGGCCCTAAAAAATTTGGAAGATACTTGGCTTGGTCTGGGTTGGGGGCCCAGTGTAATATCCTTCCATGGGGCCCAAAGTCTCTAGCAGCACCCCTGCCTTGAGCTTTTGCACATGTACGAGTACAGATACTTTGGAATGCTTCTAGTGGATGTATAACTCATCATGCTCTCCTTTAACACACACACACACACACACACACACACTTGCAGCTTTGTAAATATATCTTTGTGGGGACTTTCCATTCATTCCTATGGGGAAAACTCTAATCTCAACATGACGACCTAACTGACCTAACCCCTTCCCAGCCCTAACCTCAACCATAAGCAACCAAACAAACAATGAAACTTTTGGCATTTTTACTTTTTTGATCGCATTCGCAGGTCTTTTTGGGGACCTGAGAAACAGTCCCTTGCTCAATGCTTTCAGATAATGTTGTGTCTTTAGCAATTTTTTTTTAAGTGAAACCTAATGTAAACCTGTGATCTGTACATGATGAACAGCATGTCTCCAAGTGCTTACATACTCAAATGAAAAGTCATGAGAATATTTGTCTGTTAAATAACATACTGTATGTGTGTTGTTTTTAACCTTTTATTAGCCAGGATGTTGGCTTTCAGCTACAGTAGCTAACCTGCTAGACAGAACTTTCTAAGTAGCTAACTTGCTGAATGGAATTTGCAAGCTAAGCTAGCTGCAGAATCAGGCCTATTTTTGTAAGACAGAACTTTCTAAGTAGCTAACTTGCTGAATGGAATTTGCAAGCTAAGCTAGCTGCAGAATCAGGCCTATTTTTGTAAGACATGAATAAGATGTAGTAGGGCGTCTTAAAATGCTTGTTTCATGGGATTATTTTATGCTTCAGAAGTGATAACATGCAGAGTTATGCCCATTGAGAAACCCACAAAAAAATTTAGACAAGCTTTCTCAGAAAATTTGGACTGAAGGGAATGGTGAAAAGCTAGTATCCAAAGCTAGCGTTAAGGCCCCGCCTCCTACCAGATACTGCCATTTGATTGGTTCTTGAGTTTAGACCTGGAATACACGATTTTCTATACTTAGTGAGGTCAGCGTCTGCAGTAGTGATGGATGCCACTGGGCAGCTCAAACGACAGTAGCAAGAAGCAGAATAAAAAATGGCAGTGTGTGTACAAATACATTATTTTACCGTGGAACTGAGGAAACGGAATTTGGAGCTTATAGAGCCAGCTTTCCCCGAATATCCTCTTTTCCCCCGGGAATATGAACACAAGCTACTAAACACTCTTTCTTCTGGAGAATATTAAGCACATCTGACTATGCTTATTTTTGTTTATACATTTATATCTTTTCTGACATCTGTGTTCCAAAAGTAGCAAGAAAAAAGTAAAAATATTCCCAAAGCTTTGCTGAATCTCTGTACTGCTCAGTATCTAAAGGTTTTTTTATTTAAAAATAAAAGAGGAGGCTTTAAATGCCTGTGTGCAATACAAACAAGTAATTAGCATGAGATCTTTGGTTTTATTAGGGAAAACTGAAACCTTTAGTTTCCCAGGATGCAGCTGTTTGTATGCATGATGAAGTGTGCATATGTGTGTATATGTGTGGTAGGGCATGTTTGTGTGCATATATGTGGTTGTGTGTACATGTTTGTATTTGTATCTGTGTACCTGTGCATGTGTGTATCTGTGGTTGGGTATGATAGTGTGTGTATGTGTTGGTTATGTGTGTGAATCTGTGGTTGTATGTGTGTGTCTGTGTGTATGTATTTATGACTGTGATGCGTCTATAGCCTCCTGATAGTGATGTGGCAGCTCTCCCCCCCTCTGGGTCTGGCATCCCACCCTATTAGATCGCAGGGTGTGTGGGCGGGGCCTTAGGAGCCTTGATTGTTCTGGGTTTTGGGATTTTAATAGATGTAAAGAGGGTGGGGGTGGGGGGGGGGGTGAAAATTCAAAACTCCCCAGTGTCAGAATGGCAGCAGGAATCCTTAAAGGGACCCAAACACACACTTGGCTGAGGAAGAGTCACAGGAAGACTGTGGGAAGATATTAAGCCAAAATAAAATCATCTTAAGTTTCACAAAGAAAGCAAAATGAAGAATGTCCTATAAAATGTAAACATTTGAGTTAAAGTGGGGGATATGGAATGATGAAGTAGCCGCGGATCTCTGTAACACCTGAAGACCTCGCCTGCACTTTCCAAAAATGTAAACAGCGCATTACAAACTTTTGCCAAGTGGGATTTGTCATGCTCATTAGTGCAAGGAAATCTAGGAGGGGGAACAAGGTCTGCCAAACCCTCCATATTTTCTTCTCTCCCCTTAAAAAACTCCCGGGGATCTGCTCTGCTGGATTGCACCAGCGGGTATCTGGCGGGGGAGGAATTAGCGTAACATTATCGGTAGTGAAACCGAAGGTCTGATCCTCCATGGAGCTGC